CCTGAATTGGTGGATGGGTTACTTCGATGGACAGCGGAGACTATACTTTACACGACTCCCGAAGGAGGGAATTTTCACAGCATCCTGTCTCCGTGGCCACATCGTCAGTTTCACATTCATCCTACAGTTTGAGCCGAAGTCGTCAGAGGCGAAGAGGATTTGTGGAAAAATAGGGAATTTCAATCGACGCTTGTGGCCACAGACCCGACGATTTCGATACATGTCCCTGAGGCGAGGACAGACGATGCTTGCTGCACAACGGTATCCAGGGCCGGTCTCCATAAGCTCAGATCGTATGGATTTGCCGATTTCAGCCGGTCTACTGACACCCGTTGTCGGCATGCGATGGACGAATATTAGCTTCAAAGACTTGTCATCTCGTTTTGTGCTCGGTTAGACGACAAGTCGGGGGCTCCTGGCGTCCTTTCGGGGCCGATGAAAATAGAATAAAATGAGGAACACTTAACTTCTCCTCTTTAATACCGAGGCTGTAGTCAGGCCCTGCTGACAATGGCTCAGCGTCTTGCAATTCTTCGTGTTCAGCAAATTTGAACCGGCTTGATTATCATCACAAGTCTAGGCATCAGCAGAATAGACCGTCGTCGGCTGGCTTTGTCAGACTCATCAGCACTATCACGACAGTGAGATAATTAGGAATAAGGCTTAAATCAGCATCCCGTCCCAGAAATTCTGGTGGGGCTTAGTTTGTCTGGCCCTCGGTCTGGGACGTTAATTGCTGCCACCGGCGAATAGGCATGTTAAGTGAAATGTCCACCAGACGCGTCCGCCCAACTGGCAAAGCAGGAGAGAGCAGGTCAGAACGACGATCGGAATCGTGACTTCCCACACTTCATAAAGTTCTCTCTCCAAGCCAGCAAGGGTGGCGTCAGCCTCGGTTGATGCAATACCATACCAAAACTGAGCATATTAACAACCCAAATATTTATTTATAAGCCCATATTCTTGGCCAGACTCTTATTTCATATGAAAATGCACAAAGAATGGAGTTGAAGGTCGATCTCACCAAAAGAAGACGGTTTTAATACGACCGTCATGTCCACGAGATCCGTCTCTAAATTCAGGTACAAATTAGCCAATCCATTTTATATCCATCTATGCAT